CTCTCTTCTTCAACCCCCTTCTTTGCTCGCTCTTCGCTCTTCTCTCTTTTTAGTCATAGCTTTGAGCTATGCTTTTTAGTCATCGCCTTTTTAGCTCTTTAGTTTTTTTGGTCATGGCTTCTAGCCGTGCTTTTCAGAGCTGGCTTACACGCCAGCTCCTCCAAAACCATGAGGAGAAACGCCACCTAGTCTTGTCAAACTTTACTTCTATTTCTTTAGTTTAGTTTCTTTTCTTTTCCGTTGAGAGTTTCGTGTTCTGTGTTAAGTTGCCTAACGCCGTGTCTCCAAGTCCGACCTCGAGTGCCGTCTAAAACTTTAACCAGACCACAACTCCGCATCATCAGCCAACGCCCCACCACTGGCTTCCCAAGACTGAACTTCCAGCCAATCAGCAACCGCGGGAAACCCCCTTTTCTGCAAGGATCACAACAAAGGGAACCCCCGGACACAGGAACGCAAGTACCTCCAGATTCTAGCTGAACTGGTGCATTTAATATAAATGTTAACCTCATTGAGGAACTCAATTCGAGGGTTATTTAAGTGATTGATGGTTGTTCAGGTCTATGCAATTGCACATATTGCTGTAAACTTGGGATTTCACATTTTCATTTCCTTAAGCTCATTCTTTCCTTACTTTCTCGCTTTCTGCAACTTGTGTGAATGTGTGAATGCGTGTGTTCATGTGTTAGATTAGTTTATATGTCTTAGATTTATCCAATAAAGCCTTATTTATATTGAAAAGATAAGTATCTTGTGTTTTGTGCTTACAAGTTAATGTCTTAAACTGCTGATCTTGTTACTGTGCTAATTAATAGTGTTTTCACTATATTTTGGATATCAATATCCATTGCAGAGTTGATGTTATATGGCTCGTTCAATTAATCGCTGGCCGTCTCAGTGAGCAGCCGTAAAACAGTGATTCTGTCCAAATTCCCTATAAAATATTAAATGATTCCCTTTGAGCTAAATTGACCCGTTTCCCTTACATAATATATCATAATATCCATTTTAATACATAATTGTAGTTTTTGCAAATTTCAGAAGCAATATGGTAAAGACAGTATTTATTATTATTATTAATTGCTATTATTATAAATAACAACAATAATAAAAATACAATTGCAGCCATCATCTTTTTACTAGCATTTGGGGCTTTGCGATTTTTAATTTTGGACTCTGTATACAACTATGCATTAGCTTCAATCAGGTCAGTAGCACTGTCCTGAATAACTTTTTAATTGTTTTCTTAAAAACAGACACCACTCACCATCCGCCCCATGACGCCTGTGCCGACAGTCTCAACCTCCACCTCAGAGATGTGTGCCGCATGCTCCGCCTTCACATAGAACAACAGCATGATGCCCACCAATCGCACCAGCTTCACCTGCAAAACACAAATGATCAGAAAGGCTTGATTAAATGAAATGACAATTGGCACTGGTCAATTTTGTGATTACTATCTGACAAACGCTGTTGTTGTTGTGATCATAAACTGTATGAATGTGATTACACGCAATACACAGAGCTTTTCCCTCATCATTGTAACGCGCTGCTTTTGCAAGGTTCTGTGAAAAAGTTTCAGCTTTTATTTTCCTTTTATGCCCTGAAGAAGATATCACAGGTTCATCAAGTTCTTTTCAAAGTGACTGGCAGCCTTGTCACCTGACCTCAATACAGCGCACTGATTCGCTAAAATGGACTTATCGGCTTCTGTTCTGAGACGGCAGAGGTTAATATTACTGCAAGCAAAACCGAGCGTCTGCGCCATTCATTCAGACACGCAGAATTCATATTTAAATATGAATCGTTTTGCGGCTTAATATTTACAAATACCAGTGGGAGTGTGCTCACTTGTGTGTGTGTGTGTGTGTGTGCGCGCGCATCGGGCGGAACTCCGCAGTGCATGATACAGAGAGCGCGACCATAACGTAGAGACCCAAATGACATGCCGTCGTGTAAATAAGATAAATAACAAAATTAAATGATAAATTTAGTTTGCTTAATGAAAGAACAATGTATAGACATATTCTATAAGAACGGTAACTTTAAATTACTTCTGTTGTGATCTGGCGCTATAGAGAAAATATAATTAAATTAAATTAACTTGACCTTCAAGGGGGGCGGGGGGTGCTTGTCGGCTTCTGCTGTAAAATGTGAACTCACGATGCCTGGAAAGTTGACAATACCGGCTTTTTTGCCAAAACGTATTTAGGGTTCAGATCGCGCTATATGTGGAGAATAATGCATGGCACTCAGTTATTTATTGGTTTTTGCAAATTAACTCTTCATACATATATATACAGGTGCATCTCAATAAATTAGAATGTCGTGGAAAAGTTCATTTATTTCAGTAATTCAACTCAAATTGTGAAACTCGTGTATTAAATAAATTCAATGCACACAGACTGAAGTAGTTTAAGTGTTTGGTTCTTTTAATTGTGATGATTTTGGCTCACATTTAACAAAAACCTGTTTTGTCCCATGTCTCAAGAATGACTGGGAGTTTCACAATTTGAGTTGAATTACTGAAATAAACTTTTCCACGACATTCTAATTTATTGAGATGCACCTGTATATATATATATATATATATATATATATACACACACACATATACATACATACTGTCAACAAAATTAAATAATAAAAATTAAATGAATTTAGGACTTTCCCTAATGTACAGACCGTATTCAGTTCAGAAATGTATGCAAAATAATCCAGATCAAATTAGACAATGCCTCATTTGCATATTTAAACAGAACATTTCTGAAACGTGTAATACAATTCTTAATGTAATCTATCAACTGGGGAAATATGGTGATCTCTATTAGTATTTTATTCACCTAGGGTGTCTTGCTTTCCTAGTAAGTAGTTTGTTTTATTTATTACATTTAATTAATTAATTAATTATTTTATTAATTATAATCCATCCATATCAGCAGCATATTCTAATAATTATATGTTTTTGAGTTTAAGATCTGGATTAAGGACATTAGTGCACACTCGGTCATGGGTGAGAGGGCAGAGGAACTCCTTACTAAAGCGTACTTGGCATCTGGATGGAGGCCCTTGTAGACTGCTAACATCCACTCGGGTTCTTTAGGAGTGTCATTGAAGAGAAACGCCTCCTTACTCAGATCCAGCTCCTGGAAACTATGGATGGAAAACAGCAGGGAATCAGAAACACTGATCTGTTCAACTTCATTGCTGTTTAGGTTCATATAAATATAATAATGTGGAGTCTTACCCCACGAGGTAAAAGTCTGGAGGAGAGGCAGTGGATGCCAGCCATGGACTGAGACTTTCCTTTGGATTCTGGCCATTCACATTGTAGGTGCCCAAGAAAAAGCTGTTGGCACACAATGAGAACAGAGTGAGTGATTCACATGATCTCACGACACAAGCCAAAGAGAGAAGCTGGCAGAATAAATTAAGAAACATCTCACATACTGAAAGTGAAACCTCACTATCAGCCTGAGAGAACTTCTGCAAAGAACAAAATAAAACAGGCATACAAAAAAAGCAATTCCAACACATGAGTCTGATTAATTATGGCTGAGACTGGATTTAATACAGCTTTGTTTTGAAATGACTATGCTTATGATTGCAAATGGGAACAACATCACTATGTTTGCATGAATAGTGTCCATGCATGTGCAGCTGTAAGACAGGTTTTCATCCAAAAGGGGGCACAGTACTGCAATTGTCCACTCAAGAATGATATTAAAGGGGTCATATGATGCAATTTCAAGTTTTCCTTTCTCTTTGGAGTGTTACAAGCTCTTGGTGCATAAAGAAGATATGTAAAGTTGCAAAGACTAAAGTCTTAAATCCAAAGAGATATTATATATAAAAGTTAAGAATCAACCACGCCTACCTAAAACGGCTCGTTCTAACACGCCCCCACATGTCTACGTCACTATGTGGAAATATTAGCATAATGCCGCCCAAATGTGCACGCAAAGAAAAAAGGTGTGGTTTCAGGAACAGCGGTAGTGTTGATGCAGCATGTCAGGGAGACGCTGTGTTTCAGTGCGAAAGCAAAAGCACTTTATTTGGCCTTCCAGAAGTAGATGCAATTAGGAATCATTGGTTAAGATTTATTTACAACAGAACAGCACAACCCAGATGTTCGAATTTGTGCAACGCATTTAATGGACGACAGTTTTTTGAACCTAGAAGAGTACAAGGCTGGCTGTGCACAAAGGCTATTTCTAAAAAAAAAAAAAAAAAAGGGTCAATTCCGATTTTGCTATAACAATCTGGTGCTTCTGAATCAGCAACTGTAAGTATGTTTATGCATTTCCGACGCGTGCTTGTGGTGTTCGGCCAATCACAATGCACTGTGTCAGCTGGCCAATCAGAGCAGACTGCGCTTGTCAAAGGAGGGGGCTTTGTTGAAAACGACGTGTTTGAGAGAGGCGGGGCATAGAGGACATACAATAATGTACAGTATTTGAAAAATAATGTGTTTTTTGAACATTAA